TCACAACTAAAAACTAGTCCTGCACAGCCAGACCTGTCTCCACACTTTATTTTAGCGCTGTGTGTGAAACAACAACATTTGAGGCAGAAACCTACACGCTAAAACAACTTATAATGTTGTTTGTAGTGTTTCAGGAATTAGCCGTTCTAATTTCAGCGCTCCCCTCTCCACCAAACCAAGTTCCCTCTCGACACTATTTTGCAAGAGCACTATTGCTGCATACTACGCTAAGCACCGCCCAAGACGATTCTGATTTGTTTACAGATATACAGACAACCCAGAGTGCTTTGTCTTTGTTTGGAATTATGAAGGGTTCAGCCAGACCTTTCTGCAGCGCTGCCACAGCATGTTAAAGGTCTCACTATGCAAGACTATCTAAAAAGTATCTCAAAGTCAACCCCAGGTGCAATAAATGTAAAGGTTCCAATGCATCACTGAACCATAGTGTTGGCTGTAGTCTGGCGTCGAACAACTCTGGAGGGATGTACAGAAATGTCAGTGCAGGTGGAATCAGAAGTTTGGTCCTGATAGAGATCTTTGTGTCACATTCAGCTTCCAGATTCATTTTATGGTGACATATGTTAGAGATTTACACTCTCCGTTATATAGAGCTTCTCCATTGGTACTTTGGGGCGAGCCAAGTCAAACTATTCCGTTTCTATTACCATTTTAAACGTGCAGAGTTGTGACAAGTTGTTCTGAGTTGCCCCCAAAATGGACCATCTCCAGGGCTGTGCCAGAACACACCAGACTGCCTCCACCTGTAGTGACATCAGATGGGCTTCGTCATCATCATTCGGCATCAGTGACAATTCAGTAACATGTTTCAATAGCCTCCAATGCTACTGTCAGACATACTTCGGCAGTTTCAACTGTGTCTAAAAAAAAGTGAAGGTAAAATAAAATGGCAGCACTTTGTCTGAGGATGAAACACAAGCCGTGCTAATGTTTGCTGTTTTGGAGAAGACTTTGCCAACGCAACAAGAAATGAGAAGGTCCTCTGAGACATAGCAAGCGAGCTGCAGGAGATGAGTGTCCAGCGTAGGTTGAAAGAAAGTGGTTGACAATAACAGCAGCAGGGCAGACAGGAAAACCTTCCGTAGGTTCACAGGCACAAGTGAGTCATCAGTCAAAGACACATCTTCAAGTGGGGCCCTGTTGTATGGAGATGCAAATCTGGGCTGACGCGTCATGTTGAGCCAAGCCGGCATGTGTGCACGAGAAAGGACTAATATAAACACAAACCATGTGATGTCATGACATGCACAAAGTCATTTTCATTGTTGGATATCTGGAGGTTAATATGCATAAATATTGAATATTCAGTGTCGCAGATTCTGTTGCTGCTCAGAGAAACTCTCAGAGTGAAGAATCAGCTGTACCTTGAATTATTGTGTAATCTCAGTCAATTTGAGGTTGAAACTGGAGAGAGAAGAACCTGATTGACACATTAACAAAGGTCTCAGATTTCTGTGGCTCGACATGTAAACAGCCCGACTTCTGTCTGTTTTTAATGTACACAGACGTCACAGAATGAGCAGCATGCGAAGCAGGTTTGTGATGCACACACCGCAGCAAGGCCGACAACCACCGAGTGAAATGTAACTGCTAAGGAGTAATACAATGAGTGCTCTATTTATAGGCTCGGCACGTTCCCCTGGTAACTGATCCAATAATAAAATAAATCAAATGGATGTAATCACTATGATCAGTTTTCCTCACAATAATCTAGTCGATGCGTTCCACCTCACTGGCTGTTCGAAAACTGCCTTTCTGCCCTGGATTCAGCCGACATGGAGCCCAGGAGCCAAACACTTGATCTGAACAGGCCTCTTTTCATGCCGTTGCCATGGCAACAGAGGGGAGAATATCCCGGCTGCCGTGTGTGTGTGTGTGTGTATGTGTGTGTGTGTGAGAGAGAGAGGGTAGGGCACGTTTTCGGGTGTGTGTTCGATCTGAATGTCTCAGCAGGTCTGTGAGCGCTGACACAGATCAGACCAAAGGTTTTCTCGGCAGCTCTCATCAGAACGTGGTACCAGGACAAGTTCTAGTCGTCGTAGAAACCGACGGCAGTACTGATCCAGTTTTTAATTTGGTATCAGTCACCACTACTGAATGATAAACCCAGAAGCAGCTGTAGTAGCTCCAGTCTGATTTCCAGTCCTTACTCTGACACAATCACAGTATTAACTCTGGAATGTTCTGCAGTCCAACCCTTTAACTCAATCTATTATTCATCCTGGTTCCAACCTCACAGCTAAATCTGTTACTCACCCTGCTATCAACCACAGCATAATTGCAGCATTACTGCTAGTGCAGGTGCCAGATCTACCAACAGCCCTCGTATTAAAGGGATAGTTCAGATTTTTTGAGGCGGGGTTGTATGAGGTACTTCTCCATTGTCAGTGTGTAACCTAAAGTAGATGGCGAACAGTACGCCCTCGGTTTGTAATGGCAGGCTGGAGTCTAACATAGAAGTGAAGCAATGTACTGCTGTGGAGGGGCAGCAGCAAACCTTATTTTAGACACCCGAAACAATCAAAGTCAGTTGAAGTGTATGCTATATACCAGTTTTGAGTGGGCGTCACACTTTCGTCACAGCAGTCAGGTGCGCATACTGGTGGCAGAAAAACAGCGGACATCGGAGAGAAACAGTCGACACACCCGGAATAAAAATGTCTTATTGTGCCGTTGGATGTCAGAACATTTTTATAGAGAATGCGGTAGTAGAAAATTAAGTTTGTCTCCAGTTAATTATAATCTTGATATTCAGGATATAATCTCTGCTGGATACTCAGTAGAGGAGTGTGTGTTTGTCTTACATGAACAGAATCACTGAGGTGGTGAAAGATAATTCATCATCAGAAGGAACTGTAAAAACTCACATTTGTTAAGCATTAATTTGGTTTATTGTCCTGAGGTAAGACTGATGGAGACGTCCCCATATAATATAATTTAATTAGCTAGGTAACGCTGTCTTCTTATTACCTCCTTGCAGTGGCGGTTCTAGCCTAAATGGCATCCTGGGCGACACCCTCCTCGGGTTGCATTTACCTGACCGAAAACAACGCAGCTCACACAGCAGTGAACAATTGGAGCGGAGCCTGTGTTGCGTTCAGGTCGTTGTCATGTAATTTACAAATTCCAGGACTTGCCGCACCTACTGCCCCCCCACAAGTCATGACAAAGTGCCACCCTGGGTAAACGCCCATTCGGCCCATACTGCCTCCTTGATCATAACAGAATAAAGTAACTTTCACCACTGCTCATTTTAAAAAGGACACCACAAGAAAATGCGTTCTTCGTTTAGATTATCAAACAGACAATGGATCATCGTTTTTTGTTTATAGCTGTCAGCGATCAGCCATAGGTAGCATGCTAGCTACGTTAGCTACATCACTAATGTTAGGGTGCCTTTCACTTTCCCTGCCTGGATGCAGATGTGAACGGATCTAAATGCACATTATGGGCTATATGTTAACATAAACAAAGAACGTGTTTTCTTGCGGTGGCCTTTCTAAAGTGAGAATGATTAGAGAAAAGTCAAATCATTGATTAAGGAAATTACTTCATAGGATTTAATTATACAATCAAATCATGAGTGAACAAATCATTTTTTTTCTTTATTTATTCATTCAATCTCAAGGCTACTGTAACCAAATATTGGTCAAATTGTGTGCTGAACTGAAACAGTGTGAAGAGTATATGGCATTGTCAACTCCCAGTTTTCCAGTCACACCATATTTATGTTCAGAGACTCCAGTATGCAGAAATATTTAAATACATCATTTTGAAAAAAGGCACTGTTCCTTTATCCCTCGACAAAATTTAGCGTAACTTTGGAGCATAATGTGGCCCCCTTTCCCACAAGATAGCTTAACCTGATTGGTACCAACAGTATGTGATACTTCATATCATAGCAGTGTCTTCACCGTCGCTTTAAAACCAAGCGCAATACAGCAGGTTCTCTTTTTAAAATTAGTCTGCCTCACTTCTCACCATCTGCTTCGCTCATCATACCTGCTGCTTTTACATTTTGTTTTGTTTTATTTTTTGCCAGACAGTTGGTCATCGCCTCTCTTCTCCTTTCATTTACTTGTTCTCTCTTTACACTGTTTTTTTTTAGAAGCTCCTGATTTTTGGTGAGGCATTCTGACTTGGCTGGTCAGGCTGCAGTCCGCCTCACATGTTTACATCAAGGGCACCTCTGAGTTTTGCACAGCAGGCACCTGACCCATGTCAGATAGACTGCACCATTTCACAATACCTGCAGGGTGGTGGTAATATCAGGCGGCACGTTGAAATGTGTTTTAATGATAACAGTACATTTATTCATCATGTAAATACAAATAACTTGTATTATCAGATACACTTGATCCCATTTAAGGGTCAACCATAGACCTTTTCATAGGCCCCCTCTTGGCCTTTGGCTGGGGTCACCTGTACCCTTTGACACCCCCTTGACAGCGGGCCTGTCAGTGTGTGAACTCTACTTCTTCAAAAATAGTTCTTAGGTGAATATTTTGTGTTTCTACTCAGCTGCTCTCAGACTGTGAAGAAGATGGAGGTAAAAACATTCAATACATTCATCCAGAGAGATTTTCAGAGCGAAACCAGAGGAATCAAAGTGTTTTTATCAGTTTAATATCTCGGTTTCTGCAGTTTTAGAGAGAACCTGCTGGTCTCGTCTCATCCCTCACGTGTTTACTTCTTCTTTAGCTTACTGGATGTTGGTCACACTTCTATATTTAGTTATCCGATGCTGCATCCCTCACTCTCCCTCCCACTTCTCACTCTCCTCCTGATCATCATTTCACAGTCTTCCAGAGCAGTCTTAATGTAACACTGAGCTACACTACGAAGCTTTATTTATAGCACCATGAGGCGACGGAGCAACCTGCAGACACAGAGGTGTTCTCCTGAAAACAAACCTGAATCATGTGATTTCAATCTGAAATATTCTCAGTGTTTAACGCTGTTCTGCCCCCCTGACCCTCCAGGCCGATAATGATGATGACGGAGAATATGGAGCAGAGTGATGATGTCAGCGTCCTGCACGCCCATGAGGTGGAGCCCCCCAGAGAGGAGGACGGACACTGCCCCCTGCCCTTCAGGTAAGTAACTAGTTTAGCTTTAATCAGACTGATGCAGCCTGACGGGTTTTTGGGGAAGAAAATATTCAGACTAAGCTGACTGGTTTAACTAAACTGAGTTTTACAGATAAGATTAAAGGTACAGTGTGGCGGATTTAGGCGAATATATTGGCAAAAATTAAATACAATACTCATATTTTTTTTTTGGTCTTTAGTGTATAATCACCTGAAAATAAGTATTGTTGTGTTTTTGTTACCTTGGAATGAGCTGTTTATATCTACATAAGGAGCGGGTTGTCTTCCATGGAGTCCACCATGTTGTTTCTACAGTGCTGTGCTTTCGCGTCAGCCACCGTAGTTCTTGGCATACAGAAGTAGTTTTATTTCTACAACCTCACTGCTAGATAACACTAAATCTTTGAGAGGAAGAAAAAATGCCATGAAAAAACAAGCATAAAAATATTAGCACGGCTGTTTGAGATGTTGGAAGTTGATTACAGAGTTATTTGATTTATATGACAAACGTTAAATGCTCCCAGCGAGCGTTACTGCAACATCTGTAATGTTGGCTGACACTTTCGGCTCCTCCTCTTACTTAAAAAATCTCCCAAATTACATCATTTATCATAACTAGAAACTGTAAAAACTGAAATTATCTTTGGATTTTCAAAGTTCCTATGGTCCACGAACACATCATGTGCAACGAATGCTTCCATCAGAAAAAAAAAATTACCAAATTTGAGCTTAAAAAAGTGATTTTTCATGAAAACCACTTTATTCTACATCCCATTAGCCAAAAATAAACCGTTTGCACAAACTAAGCAACATGCACAATAAGTGGATAGCTGAAGCTCCAGGATTTTGTCTTCAACTTTTAACTTTTAGTAATTTCTGAAAATCTAACAACCTAATTTAAGTTGGAGGGGGGTCATCCATTTTTTGCCAGTCACTCAGGGAAGCTCACGGAAAAATATTTGTAGCTTTAGGGAGGTTCAAAATTAAAAAAGAAGAAGAAGTCTCACTCTGGCCGCCCCCCTCCTCTGGTAGATAAAGATAGTCCCTTAGTGAAGTCAAAAAATGTACTGACCGTGAAAAAACACATGATGGATTTTGTCCCTCCCGTTATTATTCTTGTCTTACTTCTTTGGGGTGGTAAACGTGCTCTGAATTCTAGAACTACAGTAAAAAGTAAGTGTAAAAAAGAACCAGTTACACTGTGGGCTACAACTTGGAGACTCCCTAAAGACGCAGCATTTCACCTGGGTGGGCGTGGTTTTTCAGGATGCAGCAGTGCACGCTTCAGTTAGCTCCGTGACCACCTCAGCCTGTTCACATTCATACTCTACAAGATAACCTGCTCGTACCTCTGTAAGAACGCAGAACAAACATTCTGAATTATGATGAAAATGAAAAGCTGGACATCATCATCATCATCGCATCATCATCAAATCCTGCTTAAGGACTGTTGCGATGTCAAGGGTCCTTCAAATGCTACCGAAGACCTCGTCCTTCCCTCAGAGAAGTTTCAAGGATGCTTGTGTGTGTATCCTCAGCGGGATTGAAGTACCCACAATTCATTTGCACGATTTGCCAGAATTAAAGGCAGGGCCTCTTCAGTGACACACACCTGGGCATCTGCTAGCCTGTTCCAATGTGTGTTCACCGAATGCTAGGAAGGAGAAGCACTGACTGAGAAACGCAGGACATGAAGAACTGCTTCCCAGGTGAAATGCAGAGTTTTTAGGGAGTCCCTAACGTGAGCCTTTATTGGTTTTATATTTTATTAAAATTAGCATTAAAAGTATGAACACTGTAGAAAATTTTAAAATTCTGAGACAGATAAGGATCATCTTTCTGTGTGATTTTTAAGTGGATTTATGGACATTTATTCTGGATGGACATCAGAGATAACGAGATCCTCGGGAAGTGGAAGTGTCCAAAAATATGTTTTGTATGTCTGCAGGTTCAGACCTCACTGAGTTATGAGTGCGATTTCTGATGCAAATTGCGGGTTTAAAGTACCCGAATCTCCTCCATGATCTGTGTGTCTCTGCTGCGGCACGGTGGTGCAGTGGTTAGCATTGTCGCCTCACAGCAAGAGGGTTCCTGGTTAGAACTCCGGGGTGGGGGAGCCCTGTCCAGAGTGTGCATGTTCTCCCTGTGTCAGCGTGGGTTTTCTCCGGGTACTCCAGCTTCCTCCCACAGTCCAAAGACATGCAGGTTAATTGGTGATTCTAAATTGTCCAGTCCAGGGTGAACCATGCCTCTCACCCAATGTCAGCTGGGATAGGCTCCAGCCCCCCCCCCGACTACTAACATGAAAAAATGATGAGATCCTCAGGAAGTGGAAGTGATACAGAGTCCAGAAATATGTGTTTCATGTCTGCAGGTTCAGACCTCACTGAGTTCTTAGTCTGAGAACACGGAGTGTGATTTAGATGCAAATTGCGGGTTTCAAGTACCCTAATCTCCTCCATGATCTGTGTGTCTCTGCTGCAGCTCCGACTGCTGACTGTTTTGATAAGCGGCCAAATCAACCAAACTACAACAACTTCCTGTTGTTAGCACACCTGCATGCACCTGTCCTCTTCACCTCACACTGTACCTACACTGTACCTGACTCACCTCTCTCTCACTTGCTATTGGGCACTTGCTATGAGTACTTGAGTTGAGTACTTGCAGTATAAATACAGATATTTTGGGGCATAAACAAACACAGATGGCGGCTTTGTGGTTAAATGCTTCCTCTCACACTTAACATTCTCACTGGAGAGAGAAGCAGCGCTCAGTTTAGTTTTGATCTGAGGAAACAGATGAGGTCAGGCTGCAGGTGGAAACCTCCAGCAGCTGCTGGATGTGGACGAGGCTCACAGCTGGAGAGCAGGTGAATCCAGATGTTGTGGACACACACACAAACACACACACACAAACAGTGAGTTGACTTGTGTTGGTACAGGAAGGCAGCAGGAGACTCAGTTATGATACAAAGTTTGAACAGACCTCATGTGGATGATTCACCGCCAGATCCCTCCTCCTCATAATCAACCAACTCCATCATTAGTCCTGACAAAGGGTGTGTGCATGTGTGTGTGTATGTGTTTGTCAGGGTGTTTGGCGGGAGATGAAAGCCGAGGAGACGTGCAGGACAGACAATAAACAGAGAGGGAAAACCTCACTGTGTCTCTCGCTGCTCTGTTATTCCTGTCACGTACGAAACAAGCTGCAAGAAGCTGCCGAATCAGAGGCTGTGTGTGTGTGTGTGTGTGTGTGTGTGTGCGTGTGTGTGTCTGCGCGTGTGTGTGTCTGCAGCACGTGCAGTCAGCTCACGTTTCCAGGCAGCAGAGCTCAGAGAGAGACAGAGAGGCTGATGGGAAGGAGGTGTGTGTGTGTTTGTGTGTGTAGCTGGTGTAAAGCATTAATTCACTTCTGCTGACAGGAAGCTAATGTTCCCTGAAAACCCCAAAACAGCCACGCACTAAAACAACGGGATGCAGCAGGATTTAAAACAGTGAAATTCATTCTAATGGGAACTGGAAAATCTCAGCGGAGTGCAGATCTCCTCCAGGCGGCCACCCGAGCAGCCACTCAAGACAAGTCTTGTAATTTCCTTGTCATTCCTTGATGGAGCAGCAGTGTGTTGCACAGAGCAGTTTTCCAGCTAATAGGCACTTAGTGAAGATACAATATAATTACAAAGATGAATGTATTTTAATAATTAAAAAACAGCCAGAAATCTTTGATCCATGTCGTTCATTGCTGAACATTGAACAGTATTAACAGTATTAACTTAAGTATTAACTTAAAACAGACCAAAAAAATAAGCTGTTTAACTACCACCTTACTTACTGATTGTAGAACCTGATGGAATTGTCCCTCCTGGCTTCCTTACAGTCAAGATGCCAGCAAAGAGAACAAAAACAGGGACTAATTCATCTTGTCATGCCTAACGTCTTTGTATCATAATATATCTGGCACGGATTTAATCTGCAGGTTTAAAATGAGACCAAACTTTTCTATGGATGTCAGTTTTCAAGCCACGACGAAGGCCAGAATGTGTCCCGGAACAGACGGTGAGGTTGGTTGTTTTTATATATGAGATGATTTCTGTAAAACTGCACAGCTGGCTAAGAAGAGTCAGCAGTCAGTGACAATATAAAACAGGTTTTTCAACTATGAGGAGTCACTGCAACCACGAGAGGTCCTTAAGCAAACAGTCATACTAGTGTATGCAAAATAAGAGGATAGGCAGATTGGTCCAGTAGTTTGTGAGAGTAGCTGTGGGCAGACAGATACACACAAACACACTTCACTCAGGTAAACACATGACCAAACACATTGTCCATGTCCCCCCAGGCTTATGCCTTGTAGAGATAATAAATCTGTGTGTGAGTAGAAACCTGTTTTGCTGTAGTCTGAGTGGGCGGAAGTTCGCTGCATAGATCAGCCTCTCATTGGGTGGAACGAGCCACCCGCTGAAGTCCTGCCCTACCACCTCCGGTTGTGTAGCAGTTTTCAACCGTTTTCAACACGCCCTTTACTAACTTTTGCGGTGTTTGATCTTGTGGGGATGTAGCCATTTTTCTGCCATGGTTTGCGTCCTGTAGGCGTTATTTTTGTGGGCGTGTTACACCAAAACCTGTTTTCCCCCGGCAATATTTTTGCAAGCGCACCGTTGCTGTGGCACTGCCCAGAACGATTGTGATTGGTTGAAAGAAATACAAGCAGCCAGGGCGTTTTTTTCTCCAATCTTAAAGTGAGAGTCAGCCCATCCAGACCTTTCTTTTCTTGAGAAAGGTCTGGTGAGCGAGACTAGTTTTGCTGTGGTTTGTTTCTCCCCCCTGGAAAGCAAGTAAGAGGAAAGGCCCAGATGCACCAAACAAACATCTTAGAACTAGCAGCAATGAAAACCGAGTGTCACGTCCCTTTGCTTCGCCTGTGTCTCAGCAAAAAAGTTGTACCTGAAGACACCACAAAGACCACAGCCAACAGCCAACCAGCATGTACATTCTGTGCCTGCATGAAAGGAAATAACTTCCCACATCAGCAGACGGCGGTAGTCTGTAATCATCATTCAGAAAGGGAAACCGGAAGACGGTCATGATGCTAGTTAGCCATTTAGCACATTAACAACACAACCCAATGTTGAGAGAACAAAGCATATTTACAAACAAATTTTCAAAGTAAGGATTGTTGTGTATTTGTTACAAAATTTCTTCTGAAAAGCTGAATGACTAAAAAATCATCTTATCTCATATAACAGGTTTGTTTTGGTCTCACTCCTTCTTGACTGTAGCTTTTTGTTTACTTTCCTCACTTCAACTTCTCTTTTTATGCACTGAGGTGAACTGCCAATCAGAATGATTTCATTCACTGATGGGCTCTACCGTCTCCAACACGGATTTGGGATGCTGAATCCGCCACAAAAGAGCCAACAAAGGCCAAAGGCTGCACAAAAAAGGGCAACAGATGCTCACTGATTGCCCAACATTGACTGACGGATGACCATCAGCTTGGCGTGTCAAGATCTTAAAAGTATTTCACAGTTTTATTTTCATATCTGTTATTACAAGTTTACGTTGTGAACAATGGGAACCATTTTTCAAAGAGGGGTTGCCAAGTTTTCCGAAGCGTCCCGTCCATATTGACAATCATACACCAAAAGTGTATTTCACAAAATCTTAGATGATGTATTTTTAAGAGTTGTTTTAAATCTGTCTCTTGTGAATACTAGGGCTTTAAAAAGTGTATTTTTAGTTGCTGTTGTACCCTTAAAGTCTTAAAAGACACTCAATAGAGTCATCCAACACTGTCATACTGAGCTCATGCTGGAATGTCTTCTGCATTGTGTCCATTCAGCACTCCCCATGAATCCCTTCTGCATGTGTGAGCAGGTTGAATCCTGCACAGAATCAACAACAATAAGCAGAGAGCTGATTACAGAATACACAACACTGCTACAAAACTGAACAGGATCAACAATGTGTTCTGATAAAATATTAATTAAACTTCACTTTGTATCAAACAGTCAGCAAATGTTCAGCATCGTTTTAACTGTGTTCAGCATGCAAACAGGAGATTATCAGACGTGTCGGCGGAGTGTGAACTCGACCTCTTTCTCTGCTCCACTTTCTCCATTCAGCCTCAAACTGTTTGCATAATTACTCCTTTTATCTGTGTGTGTGTGTGTGTGTGTGTGTGTGTGTGTGTGTGTGTCTGCCTCCCAGTAGCTCCTGTGGACAATCACTCCTTTCACACACATGCACACACACACACACTGAACTCTCCATGCTCCAGTGTACCATCTAAAACCTGTGGCTGATGGGAATTCTCATCCCCCATTTTCAGTTGACTTTTTTCACATTTACAAAATAAGTACTTGGTGTTTTACTGAGGTAAAAGTACAGAAGTATTATCAGCAAAATATACTTTAATTGTCAGAGTTAAAAATTCTTGTTATGCAGAAAGGGTCATATTATTATAGATAGTATATAATTCTGTTTTAATCGCTCATGTAGCAGCAGGTTACAGTTGTTTATTTTCATCATGTTGAGCCAATTTTAGATACTTTTAGTACTACCAGGTAAATTAGTAATATATATATACTGCATTATATAATGTTTTTTTATGTAAAAAAAAAAAAAAAACATTTACAGTGTTTGTACAGTTAACTGTTTGCACATTTATGTTCACACTTATGTTCACATTTACATGATAAAATATTCGCAGCAGCATTGTTAAAACAAGGTTAAATAGTCTGCTGGATCTGTCTCAGTAATTCTCACACACTTTTACCTCAGTCCCTCTAGCTTCTCATTGGTTAGTTAAGAGACATGTGACCCATAACAAGGAAGTGTACCCAGGAGAGATGGCTGTTGGGAATCTGCTGATGTGTGGAGAATAGTGAAGTGCTGCTTAAGTGAATATCTGTCTCCATCCTGCTGTGTACTCTCAAGAAGAGTGACCCAACCACCACACATCAAACCCTCACGTTACAATAGCACAGAATGAAAGTCGTCAAGTACAGAGCAAGTATGTCAGAATTTCCTTTAAAGGTCTAGTGTGTAAGATTTAGGGGGATTTAGCGGCATCTAGTGGTGAGGATTGAAGATTGCAACCAACTGAATCTTCTTTTGGTTAGAATTCCTTCAGTGTTTATTGTTCAGGAGGTTTTCACTGGGACCTGAGTTTTCCACAGAGGTCTTTTCCTCTCTAAAACAAACAGACCAGGTGATTTAAACCAATAGAAACACTGAATAAAGCAGTTTCACATTACAAATCAGTGTTTTTCTACTGCTTGTCAAGGAGGGGCTGCTAACTATGGTGGCCGATACGAAAACATGAATGTCCCTATCTGGAGCTAGTGTTTGGTTTGTCCATTCTGGGCTACTGTAGAAACATGACAGTGCAACATGACAATCTCCAAAGATGAGGATCTGCTCCCTATGTAGATATAAACAGCACGTTTGAAGGTGACAAACACACAATAAATCTAATTTTCAATTGATTTTACACTAAAGGAAACATACTCATTATATTATATTCCATTCCTGCCAATATTTCCCCCCTAAATCCTACACGCTGGACCTTTAAGTAACGTATTTGATTAAAAGTACATAGTTACTTTTCACCACTGATAATGACCATACAGATTAATGCTTAATGATAATTTAATTGCCATAGCGATGGGTTTGGTGTTTGTCAGTTGCTTTTCTGTTTGCATGAACTTTATGACTCCATTTGCGTTAACATCCTCCGTGAAACCTGATGCAAATAAGTGTCGTGTACGTGTGTGTGTGTGTGTCTCTTCAAGTGTGTTTCAGTAAAAGCATTTGTCAAAACAACATTCAAACACCTGAGAGCAGTTTGAGAAGCAGTGGATTAACACACTTCAGACTCTTTATTCACATTTTGTTTTAATTTTTTGCTTCGTGCTCTTGAATCTTAATTTTTCCGGTTGTGTTTGTGCTGTGTAAATGCCTCTCTTTGTATCTTTAATTGTTACCGGCAGTGATGCACCTCTCACTATCAGAGCTCCTGTTCTTTGTTTATTCTGTCTGGGAATTTGGTTGTTTTAGAAACCTGGCAGTAATTACTCTCTGTGATAAATAAAATAATTAACATGTGGTTGTATTTTACTGGCAGCTTTTTAGACTCCTTATTTTTAAAAATGATTTTATTTTAAGCCACTATCAAAGAGGTTAGAATAAGTTAAAAATAGGATCAAATAAAATGTAATAAAGTCCTCCTGGATCACTAATTTGCTGCAATTCTACCAATGTGAAGACTTTAAGCTTTAGCACTGTCTTGTAGAATTTAATCTGTGAGGTAACTAAAGCTGTCAGATACATTTAGTGCAGAAAAAAGTACATTATTCCTATCTGAAATGTAGCGCAGAGGAATTAAAAAGTTTAGGAAATTGACATCAAAATTGTACTTCAGTAAACATGCTCAATGTCTTTTCACCACAGTGTCTGACAGAGCGGTCAGTATACATTAATGACTGAATGTTAAGTCATATATATTCCAGTGAAGCAGCTGATTGCTCACTTGTGAAAATGCCTGTTCACATTATCAGTGTGCGTGTGTCATTTATCTGTGGTCACATTTCCATCCTCACCTCCACGTGGCTCCTGATAACAGGAAACAGTCTGATTAAAGCTGCTGTGTGATGTAATGAGGGAATGACTTTAAACAATTTCAGTATTGTACCTTTGGAACCAACAGTAACCCTTCAGACATGGTACCTAGACCCTAGTGTTTCCACTGCAAACAGGACTTTCACTTCGACAGGGTTGTTGTCACTCACTGCTCCGTCCAGCACTCACTGTATTTCCTACTTTATCAGTCTGCATGGTGACATTTTCAGAACAAAATAAAACAGGCTGCAGTGAGAGTCTCTCTCCATGGGATATTTAAAGATAGCAGCTTTGTGCATTTAGTATTTCTCAGGCAAGCTCAGGGGTTTAGTGTTGTCGGGGCCCACAGGAACGACACTCTACGCTACTTTTTTTTTTTCTCTGAGTGAGGATTAGAATATATGCACTTCAGGTAACCTGGTCAAAATTAATATATAAATGCTTGAAGATCCGCTCATTACTAGAAGTCTGTGTCATCCAAGAGAGACAATACAAACTAAAGTGATGGTCAAAGTTGTCACAGTGAAATTAAAGGTGTGCTGATGGATTTATGTCATCAACTCATAGATTAAAAGTTGCTGGCAGTCAGCCCAGTGAATTATTTTTTGTCAGACTCCAGCTGCTGTGAGAGGCAGCAAAACATCCTTTCATTTTATAGTTACAGTTTACTGATAAAACTCTCCACAGTATGAACAGTGGTTACATGAGCCTCAAAACCAGCCACAACTCAGCCCTGAGCAGAGTGACCGTACGCTACTGACCAATCAGACTGCAGTGTTCACAGCTCCACCTTTTAGTACCACATCTGTGTGCTAGGTACCCCAACAGAGGGGGGACCAAACATGGGGACGGTACAGAACAATTCCATTGGTAGGCGGAGCAAAGTATTCCCGATGTCCCCGGCAACGCTTCCCAGCTACTACTGGGGGATCCCGCGGCATTCTCAGGCCAAACAAGATATGTAACCCCTCCAGCTATTACCTGTTTCTGGACATTTCACCCACATAGTTATCCTCAGTAGATGGCGACGTAAATGTGGAAATTAAAAACAGCATATAATTTGTGTTTTTCTAATTTTTGCACTTTTTGCCCCGTTAAAGTTTATGCATTTTTTTTACCTACTTCTCTTTAAAGCCACTTTAAAGATGAATTTCCATTTCTTTGTGTTAGAATTGTTTTCTTATGTTAAGAAAACAACAACCTAGAAGCACTTTTTGCATTGTTTGTTCTTGTTTTTCCAGTTTCAGCTCTTCAGCACTCTGCTCCTGCAGCAAGAAGAAACTGTACTTTTTGTCTATTAAGACAGAATAACGTGATGAGTTATGTCGTGTCCCACAGGCTGCAGCTGATCGACGACCTGTCCTACGAAGACGTGAAGAAGTGTTACAGAGGATCAGTGAGTCCTTCACTCAGCAACACAAACACTCAGCAACACAATGTGAGCTGACCTAAAAGTGACGACATGTCTCTCAGCTCACCACACCTACAGATGCATGTGGCCGATATAAGAACACACGCCCACCCACCAACACACACACACACACACACACACACACACTCACAGCTCTGTAGTTGTGCTCAGAAGTCCAGAGATGAAGGCAGACCAGCAGGAGTCCTTTCAAATCTTTTTTTAAGTCTCTGCAGAAGTTTCCGGCGTCTGTCTCGTCTCCATGGGAACACGGTCAGGGGTGTGTTTGTGTTTGAGTGTGTGTGAGGCAGGAATCTGTTGCAGCAGACAGAAAGTTACGGTCCACCATCAGACACTCACAGATTAAATATCAGATACAAGTTTAACATAAAAGATTCCTCTCCAGACACACAGTGGGTTTATCAAACATCTGCAGCAGCTGCCGTCACAGATTGCGTGTCATATAGTGTTTTCAGGGTGTGTATTTCTTCTTGTTGCGAATGCATTTAGGAGATGTCAACAGAAATAAGTTCTGCTGCGTTTACTTATTTGCAACAGTCAGTTAAAACTTTCCACCTCTGAGGACCAGATATAAATATAGAACAGATTGGATTTACAGAAGACACAGGAAGGTGTGTCAGCAACACCACATGCATGTGCATCATTTTCTTATTAATATGGCTCAGAGTCTTCACACCTGAGTGACATAATTAGGAAATTTGAGTATCTAATGCAGATATTGTGCTTCTTTCTGGTACTGAGCAACATCCAGGTTTGAAGAAACAACATAAGTTTTTCCAGAAGAACTAGGAAGGCCTGCTCACTCTTGATGACTTTGAATTATGGTAGAAATGTTTTTGGAGATGTCTCTGTATCATTTCACACCTGATAAAAGGCTCAAAACCAAAAAAAAAACACTCTGTATTTATGTATTTAACTTTACAGTTTGAAGAGAAGTGAGACAACTGGTTCACACTGGTTCCAGTTCATTTGAACTTAAACATATATTTCAAATAACGGATCAAACTAACCTCTGAAAGTACGAGTTGAAACTACAGAGACAGCAGGATCAATGACACTGTTTCTCTTACAACACTTCCTCAGCGTTGGAGCTTTTAGTATGACCCAAATGTTCAGCCAGTCTTCAGAGGCTTCAGGTGGAGCAGGCGTCGAGCTGCTGTTGTTGTTTCAGTCTTTGTTGTTTCAGACAGGAACAGGAAGGCAGGAAGTCACCGTCTCACAGAGAATAAACACATGCAGGTGTATTTAGATGATGTAAGTTGTGACCCACATGTCAGGAACCAAAACAATACTCAGGCAAAATATTCCCGAAAGAAGTGGTTCACTTACTGGACCCTTTTCTTAAGTAAAAGTACCAATTCAACAGTAAAATAATACTAAAAATATTCCCACTGCAAGTAAAAGTCCTGTAGTCAAAACCGTACATGAGTAAAAGAACACTGAAATATATTTAAAGTATCAGTAATAGCATTTATTGGCATACAGCATTTCTAAAATTAAGAAAAGCTCTCAAATGTCCATCACATTGTGATATATATTGATAATAGAACAAATATTAATCATATTTACTGTAAAACTTTAATTAATAGCCCGGGCTATTATGTGCTTAAATCACTGAGATCAATGGGCCTATATTTGAGACAAGCCTTTAATTCCTTTCATACAAAACGGTTGCTCAGCAAAGATCAGGAAATACAATCAAATTGTTTCTTTAAACCAGTATGAATATTACTTGTTTAGAAATTAGGCTTCATATAATATATCATTTATGAATCATTCATTTGCTCTAGCTCAGATGGACAGTGCATCAGAGAGAATGAACTGCTTGGCAACCAGACCAGGCCCCTATTTGAGACAGGCCTTTAGTTTTGAGCCGGGACTAAGGAACAGCCAACAGAGCCCTGCCTGAGAAGCTGAGGCTCCACATTGGTTCATAGGGGAGCAGCAATTGACAGAATATCTTTGTAATGAAGTGCAGACATTAAAGTTGACTGAAACCTAAAATCACTCTTTGCTGTCACGCCAAACTCCTCACTTTGTATGCTATGGTATTGGTACCATTTTAAGTTTAAATGAATCTGGTGGACGTACACCATCTTATCTGATTTTTAAAACAAGTCTATGACAAAGAAGTGATAGGTAAAAAGCATGAAAAGCAGACTGAAGATGAGTCAGAGCCTGGAACATATAAAATTGTATCATCTGCATAAACATGGACATTGAAGTCCTGATTAGGAAGCCTGTTATTCATGTGTAATGAAAACGGTAATGGACCAAGAACAGAACCCTGTGGAACCCCATCTCTGGATTACTGTCTTTCCATCCTTTAAATCATTACAACTTGTTGATTTAAGAGACATTACGTGTAATATCATGGACATAATCACTGAATTTTTTTAATTAACCATACACACTTATCTGTTCTTCAGATTTCATATTGTACATACATGGATATATGCCACTTCTCATCTATACATCTGCACACTTTGTTTGTTTATGGATACTTGTTTATTGATATTTTTATACTTAAACCTTTAGTGATAAACTACTTTGTGCTGCACACAACAACAACAGTTTCTCTCAGTAAATAAAGGTTATCTTATCTTCAGCAACAAAAGTCTCAGTTCTCTCTGTAATAATAATGACAAATGACACATCAATTATTATACTGAGCACAACCAAGAGACATGATTATTGAAGACATAAACATCTGAATCTGTCTGTCATTAACTCTGTTCCTCTGCAGACTGTCAGCAAATACAACTCTCAGTACCACAAACTGTTCCAGACGGTTCCTAAAGAGGAGATCCTGATGAAAGGTAAGGACTGTTTGTGAGGTCAGGAGGACAACGACTGACAGGACAGATGTTTCACCTCAGCTGCACTGTTTATCATCCGTCTATCACCTGATCTATCGCCTGTTTAAGTCATTTGTTGTTTCCATTGAAATAAATCTGTTTTTATATTTGTTTCCAGCTCCTGATGATCAGGGATGCAGTAAAAATCAACTGTCTCTCCTCCTGTCTGATCCTGTCTCCCATCTCGTCTCCTCTTTTTCTTCTGTAGTGTATTCGTGTGCGTTGTTACGAGACATCCTGCTGCAGGGACGACTCTACATCTCCAGGAACTGGCTGTGTTTCTACGCCAACCTGTTTGGTAAAGACATCAAGGTGAGTGGAGAAGCTGTCGGTTCGCCTCAAACCATCTGTCTCTTTTAAAACGTGGCCACATGAAGTCGGGTGAATTTAAAAAGCAAATTTCTTTCTTCGCTGTGTTGGTCTTCCATCAACAGACTGCTTCTTTTTCACTCTTTTTCAAAAGAGTTTTAAAAAAAAAACTGGACAAAGCTGAAAATACAGGTCCAGTTTAAGACAACATTGTGTTTCTCCTACCTATCCATGTCATTTTGAATTCCAGTGTCACAAAAGTGAAAAAGGTTTGTAAATGTAAAATCAATGTGACTAAGTAGCAGCACAGAAATATTAGTATTTCTGTATATAACAGATAGTATCAGTGGTTCACCCTCGGAATAGATCAAGTTCTATCTTGTCTTATTTACTGAATGAGAGGATCAATGACTGTTTGTATGACAACTGGAACAAAACATATAATAAGAACAACAGATCATAAACTCAGCTCCACTGAAACATAAACCAAGTGATTAGTTGAGCTTTTTAAAATCAAATGTGATAGTTATTATGATCTTAACAAGAACTCTTTCCACAGCAGAACAAATGCAAATGAGGTCTGAGTGATGTTTTAAATCAATTGCAATGTTACAGTAAATAAATTTCAAACATTGTGCAAAATTACATTTGAATTTGTCCAAATATGATTTAAAAATGTTCATTGCATTGAACTGAACATAACATAAAATGAGAACCCTTCACATGTCTAGAAAAAACTAATAAGTGTTGCTTTAATTACAATTTGTTTGAAATTCTTGATTAGGAAACAGAAATCAGTAAAATGTTCCCTGAGTGAGTTGGCTCAGTGATGAGGTGAAGGTAGACAGACATCAGAAAGAAGATATTTAACTTACCTATTTTGTCATGTATACATTGACAAAATTGATAAAACACACACACACACACACTTTCTTAAAGCTTTTTTCCTTTGTCACGTCTGTTTTTAGAGACTTGAAGTTGTCAGCTGGAGATAAAAAGTCAGTTTGTGTACAGACTGAATTATTGATTTCAGTTTGGTAAAGCCTCTTTGTCGTCCTTACAACAGCGTCATGTTCTATAGTCGTCTGCACTACGGGAACATTTGGAAAGGTTTAAATACATTCATGATCCCCATATGACTCCAAAGAGTCAACATGTGTGTGTTCTGTGTGTGTTTGGTCCAGACGTCTGTTTATTCTGAGTCTGGGTGAAAGTTCACCTCAGTATCAATACTCTCATTCAGAGGAAATAAAAGTCATGTAATGTGATTTATTTACTGTAAAATATCTGTTTTCATGGAACAACCACAGTCTGAGCACCAAACAGCAGCTTCAGAAGAAGTACTCAGATATTAGTAACACTCTGTTACAGGTAAAAGTCCTGTATTCAAACTGTTACAAAACTATACATACAAAAGTATTAGTTTCAATAAATACTAAAAGTACCTAAAGTAAAGTACTCGTTATGCAGAATAAAATACATTATTTTATTATATTTGTTGATGCATTAATATGTTCATCACTTTAATGTTGTAGCTGGAGCTTATTTTAATAACTTTATATACTGCTGGGTAGTTTGGAAATTTCACCAAGGGATCAATAAAGTTTATCTTGTATTTAATAATAAGTCATAATTTATTTGTCACTTATATTTTGTATTATTAATCTGAAAAGTAACTAAAGCTGTCAGATAAATGTAGTGCAGTAACAAGCACAGTATTTCCCTCTGAGATGTCGTGGAGTAGTAGTGTAAAGTAGCAGAAAATATAAATACAAACAAGTAACGTTCAAGTACATTTACTCAAAGCTGGACTGAAGTACGGTACTTAAGTAAATGTACATGGTTGCTTTCCGCCCCTGGCAAACAGCAGTTAACAGGAAGTGTTTGCTCTGACTTACAAACTAAAAGGTTTTTTCGGGAGGGTTGTGCCTCTGCGTCCACAATCTTTTTTTCTGGAATTATGTTTTCATCTGTCTCATTCTCTTGAATGCAAGAAGGCCGAGAACAGCTGGAGGGAATTTCTTCAAATTTGGCACAAACGTCAACTTGGATGTGACCATGAACTGAATAGAATTTGGTGGTCAAAGGTCAAAGCTTAAGGTCACTGTGACCTCATCAATCTTATTCTCGTGAACCTCAATATTTCAAGAACGCATTGAGGGATTTTCTTAAAATTTGGCACAAACGTCTACTTTGAGTCAGGGTAGAACTGATAAAAATCTGGTGGTCAAAGGTCACTGTGACCTTATGCGTCCCATTCTCTTGAGCACAATATTTCAAAAACACCGTGTGGGAATTCCTCAATTTTGGCACAAACGTCCACTTGCACTCAAGAATGAACTGATTAGAATTTGTTTGCCGGAGGTCAGAGGTCACTGTGACCTCACAACATGTTTTTGGCCATAACTCAAGAATTCATACATTAATTTTGACAAATTTTATATAATGTGTCTAATAGGATAAAATTATGAAGTGATGACATTTTATCTCAAAAATGTAAAAGCTCAAAGGTCAAATTGACTGTGACATCATAATGTTCTACAAAAACACTTCTTTGGCCATTGCACAACATCCTGACTCAGGAAGAGAAGTGGAGACATTTTGTCAGATACTGAACTGGTGACACTAATCTTGGGTGTCCACCTTAAAACTGTGCTGATTGTATAGATCTTCTGTGCTGCTGGGCGGGGGGGGGGGGTGTTTTTGAAGCATCCATGTTTTCACAGACATACAGTACAGGCCAAAAGTTTGGACACACCTTCTCATTCAATGCGTTTTCTTTATTTTCATGACTATTTACATTGTAGATTCTCATTGAAGGCATCAAAACTATGAATGAACACATGTGGAGTTATGTACTTAACAAAAAAAGGTGAAATAACTGAAAACATGTTTTATATTCTAGTTTCTTCAAAATAGCCACCCTTTGCTCTGATTACTGCTTTGCACACTCTTGGCATTCTCTCCATGAGCTTCAAGAGGTAGTCACCTGAAATGGTTTCCACTTCACAGGTGTGCCTTATCAGGGTTAATTAGTAGAATTTCTTGCTTTATCAATGGGGTTGGGACCATCAGTTGTGTTGTGCAGAAGTCAGGTTAATACACAGCCGACAGCCCTATTGGACAACTGTTAAAATTCATATTATGGCAAGAGCCAATCAGCTAACTAAAGAAAAACGAGTGGCCATCATTACTTTAAGAAATGAAGGTCAGTCAGTCCGGAAAATTGCAAAAACTTTAAATGTGTCCCCAAGTGGAGTCGCAAAAACCATCAAGCGCTACAACAAAACTGGCACACATGAGGACCGACCCAGGAAAGGAAGACCAAGAGTCACCTCTGCTTCTGAGGATAAGTTCATCCGAGTCACCAGCCTCAGAAATCGCAAGTTAACAGCAGCTCAGATCAGAGACCAGATGAATGCCACACAGAGTTCTAGCAGCAGACCCATCTCTAGAACAACTGTTAAGAGGAGACTGCGCCAATCAGGCCTTCATGGTCAAATAGCTGCTAGGAAACCACTGCTAAGGAGAGGCAACAAGCAGAAGAGATTTGTTTGGGCCAGTGGAAATCTATGCTTTGGTCTGATGAGTCCAAATTTGAGATCTTTGGTTCCAACCGCCGTGTCTTTGTGAGACGCAGAAAAGGTGAACGGATGGATTCCACATGCCTGGTTCCCACTGTGAAGCATGGAGGAGGAGGTGTGATGGTGTGGGGGTGTTTTGCTGGTGACACTGTTGGGGATTTATTCAAAATTGAAGGCACACTGAACCAGCATGGCTACCACAGCATCCTGCAGCGACATGCCATCCCATCCGGTTTGCGTTTAGTTGGACGATCATTTATTTTTCAACAGGACAATGACCCCAAACACACCTCCAGGCTGTGTAAGGGCTATTTGACCAAGAAGGAGAGTGATGGAGTGCTGCGGCAGATGACCTGGCCTCCACAGTCACCGGACCTGAACCCAATCGAGATGGTTTGGGGTGAGTTGGACCGCAGAGTGTAGGCAAAGGGGCCAACAAGTGCTAAACACCTCTGGGAACTCCTTCAAGACTGTTGGAAAACCATTTCAGGTGACTACCTCTTGAAGCTCATGGAGAGAATGCCAAGAGTGTGCAAAGCAGTAATCAGAGCAAAGGGTGGCTATTTTGAAGAAACTAGAATATAAAACATGTTTTCAGTTATTTCACCTTTTTTTGTTAAGTACATAACTCCACATGTGTTCATTCATAGTTTTGATGCCTTCAGTGAGAATCTACAATGTAAATAGTCATGAAAATAAAGAAAACGCATTGAATGAGAAGGTGTGTCCAAACTTTCGGCCTGTACTGTATATGTAGACTGTAAGAGCAACTTGATTGGTTTGTGGAGGCATACAACCACGTGGCTGTAATTCTAGTTTATCTCTCTTCTGTGAATGTGCAGGTGTGTATACCTGTGGTGTCAGTTCGGCTGGTGAAGAAACACAAGACGGCAGGTCTGGTGCCAAACGGCCTGGCTATCACCATGGATACAGCTCAGAAGGTACCAGACAGGATGACTACACATACACACATATATAGAAGCAAAGAACTGTAACCTGAGGACAGTGACAGTTTCAGCAAATATGACAAAATCTTTCAGCTTTAACTGGTGTGTAGCATGTGCTAGCTCTTTCGCATGTTGGTATGCTAATCTTTGGCACATGATGTCATCATGTCAACATGTGTGCATGGGAACAGGATCATGTTTAGCCTGTTGGCGAGCACAGTTAATGCAAAGAGGAATCCAGCTATTAGTTTTAAACTCTGCTGTCGTAGAGTGGCAGAAGGACACGATAATTTGTTTGTGGTGTACGGATTTATTTTCTGGGGAGACGGTCATATCATGGTACTCCATATAATTATTAAGATTTTATATATGAGTTTTGTATGACTTGTTTTCCAACCACATCAGAAATCAGAAGTGATTTCAGTTGCTGAACAGCCAGGCTCGAAGGTGAGGAATAATAATGATAAAATAATAATACACTTTATTTCTGTAGCGCCTTTTAAAACCAGACTTAGAAGATGAAAAATAGAAAAAAATAATTCCATACAGTACTCTATAGAGAAATAGAAATAGGTGTGTTAAGAATGAAAAAGAGAGCTGAGAGAGGTTTATTCACATTTTCAGATGAGTTGAGTATTTTCAGTAATAAACACTTTGTCATGTAACCTGGTTTCTGTCCGTCTGTCCCTCTGCAGTACGTGTTTGTGTCCCTGCTGTCCAGAGACAGTGTCTATGACGTCCTCAGGAGGATCTGCACTCACCTGCAGGTCTGTGGATCGTCTCTGTATTCTTTTGATGAGGGGAAGTGTTCAGTATTTAAACCAAGTCGCTGTCAAACAATCCTGTTAAACACCATATTTAAAACTGAAATGTCACAATAAGAAATTAATAATTCCTGATTATATAACAGAAAATATTTCAGTTTGATCCTGAGTTGACTTCCTGTCTGACTGTCTCTCTGTCTGTTTGTAGGTGAACGGGAAGAGTCTGAGTCTGAAGCAGTACCTGGAGGAGCCCAGCTCTCTGTCCATGGTAACACCACATTTTGTTCATATTTATGAATATTTCTGTCAAACAACCACAGCAGATTACCTTCACAAAGGAGCTGCACTTTTGTGTGTTGTGGGAAAAGAAAAGGTGACTGAAAAGCTGGAATTATGTTTCTGCAGAGATACACATGAACATCTCTGTGAACCTGCACAGAGAAGGGGGTTATGGGTAATCATACTTAAATAACAGTATATGAAAATAATTATTAAAATGTAGTTGAAGTATTTAAAATAGATAAAAATGTCCCCTGCGACTGTCATGCTGAATGAGTGAAAGAAAACCATGAGCATTTTATAGACAAAATACTAATTTACAAAACTGATTGAAAAATTTAATTGATGATTAAAATGTTTGTTTGTCGCAGCCCTTTTTGACAACTTTGGATTCTTTGTGCTGCAGACACATTTTAAAAAAGCTATAAATTTGCGATACCTTGTCACAATTTATATCCACAAACTGAAACACTTCCTGGTACTGTGAGAGATGTTATAAAATCCCTGAGATTATGTGATGATGGAAACAGCTGTGTTAGAAATGAGTCACCAGTCAGTAAAAGCAGGCATAGCTGAATACCAGAAGCTGTTTTTTTTTTTTGTCCTGGTGACCTTCTGTGACCCCTTCACACTCCCTGGATAAGAGGCTTTCCCCGTACTGCCTTCAGGTTCTGTCTGTGAAGTTGAGTTGACAACACATGAGCGGCTCAGCAAAGTGTTAAATATGATGAGGAAGGTGTTGATGTTCTCTCAGCCAGAAGCTGTTGATGTGACGATCACGATATGTTTTGGATTTGCTATTTTCACTCAGTTTCAGATCGTCATTTTGGAAAAAAAAAGTCTCCTAGAGGTATCCTAAAATATATCCTTACTGTATTTTTTAATGAAACAGAAGAAAATAGTGACTTTGTTGGGGACTATTTTCAGTGGCGGATTAATCCACATTTGGTGCCCTAGTGAGTATCTGTGGCAACAGGACGGTGTATGTGAGATTGAGTCAAAATAAACTACAATGTGTGTGTTCATGGTAATAAAGGAATATATCACCCAGTGACACAGTGTGACACGCACTGATGTGTTTTAACAGCAGTGGAGGAAGAGGAGTTATCAGGCTGTAGATACACACACTGTACTTGTTAGAAGATACATTTAGTTTACATCTCGACTGTCTCTTTTCTGAACCTTTCTTTTGGTGTCTCTGTCAGGATGAGTTTCCAGAGGTGTTGAAGTGGAGGAGGAAGCCCTCGCTCCCCGCCGTTTCCTCCTCGCTCCCTGACCTGCTGGGAAACTCCGCCCCCAGCCTCGCCACAGAAACAGCATTCAGCACACACACACTCACAGGTAGGTCTGCTCACCTGTCATTCAACAGTCACAGGAACCTTCCCAGTGACAGTGAGATGCTGACATTGTGTGTCATTGTGTGTGTGTGTGTGTGTGTGTGTGTGTGTAGACAGCAGTTTGGAAACAGAGAAGATCCTGCTGACAGAACCAGTACCAGAACTGGGTCACATGGAGTACCAGCTGCTGAAACTCTTCATCTTGCTGTGAGTACCACAGTACAAAGACAATTAAATTTAAAAAAAAAAAGGTAAAATTCACAAAACACCCGCAAAGTAAATTAATTTGCAAAGCCCATAAAGTGTATTATTTATTTATTAATTTTTTGAATTTATTTTTTTGATAGTGTATTCAGAATAATAACTTGAATATACAGTATATTGTTTACAAATATCCATCCATCCAAAACACATCAATATAATATCCCAAAAACATCCAGAATGTAAAGAGAAACTGGCTAAAACATGAACCCAGAAAAGGCCCAAACCCCTCAGAGTGCACAGACAGCTGTAGTGGTTGTGTAAATATTAGTAACCAGTATTAGGTTTGTTAAATCTCAGGTGTGTTCAGAGTCCTCTGTATTTTCCAGTTTTATCTCAGAACTGTAGAGTAAACTATATTTTATTGTTGGTCTGTGCTGCCACCTGCTGGCTGAATATCATTCACATGGCCACATGTAACACAGAACTTTAAGGCATAGTTTTTCAAAGTGTTGACATAATAAGTTGCCTTTTTGTGTCACATATTCATTTCAGAACATTTCATTTAAATAAAATATTATCTAGAATTCACTTTTTCATGACATACTGTACAATGACCTTTTTAAATCACTTTTGTATAACTTTTTTATGACATACTATGACTTTTTTCATAACTGTCTTGACAAACTTGGGTTTTTTTTTTACATACTAGGGCTTTTTTTTCATGACATAGTACACTGACTTTTTTTTATAACTTTGTTTATGTACTACACAATGACTGTTTATTCATTGTTTGATATACTATAGTATGACTTGAAAAAACTTTTTTTGTACATACCATTCTTTTTTTGTGTGTGTGAATTTTTTCACTTTTTCATGACATACTATACTATGACTTTTTTTAATCATGAATGAATGAATGAAATGAATACGTTTTACATATTTGACTGTGACTTTTTCAACAGTTTTCATAGCCTTTCATCACTTTTTAAAAAACATACTATACTTTTGTATCACATTTTTTGACATACTGTACTATGACCTTTTTTGACTTTTTCATGACATACTATACTATGACTTTTTTAAATCACTTTTTTATGACATACTTTAATATGACTTTTTTTTAAATTGCCTTAATAACTTTTTGGAGGCATACTCTGTTATGACTTATGTAATCACTTTTGTCTACCTCTTTTATGACATATTGTGATTTTTTTTATAACTTTTACGACATACTATTGTGTAACATTGTTATGAGATACTATGATTTTTTATAACTTTTTTAATACTACATTATGACATTGTTTAACTACTTTTCATGACGTACTATACAATGACCTTTTTTAAGCACTTATATAAGTCTTTTATGACAAACTGACTTTTTTTTTATAACTTTCTTGACCTTTTTGACATACATACCTTTTTTATCACTTTTTTGACATACTAGGACTTATCTCTTTTTATCAGTTTTTCATGACATACTACGCTGACTTTTTATATCTTTGTTTACATATGATAAAATGACTTTTTTATTCATTTTTCATTCATACAATAGTATAACTTTTTTGTACATACCATACTATGGACTCTTTTTATCTCACTTTTCTTTAATCTTTTTTGATAAACTTTTTTACACTTTTTTATGACATACTTTACTATGACCTTGTTTTCTAATGGTTTGATATACTACACTATGATCCTTTTTAGACCACTTCTTCATGACATACAATACCATGACCCTTTTTATCACTTTTCTTCAACTCTTCCACGACATACTACACTATCACCATTTTTATCACTTTTTTTACAAACTGTACTATAACGTTTTTTTGATCACTTTTTTCAGCAAACTATACTATGACCTTTTCCATCACCTTTTTTGTATACTATACTATGACTTTTTTCATGACTTTTTTGACATGCTATGCTATGACCTTTTTTATCACTTTTTTTGTCATACTATATGACATTTTTCAACATACTATACTATGATCTTTTTTCATGTTTTTTTTGACATACTATACTATGACCTTTTTTCCCATATTTTTTTTTGACATACTATGCTATGACCTTTTTTCATGATTTTTTTGACATACTGTACTATGACATTTTTTCCCCATACATTTTTTGACATACTATACTCTGACCTTTTTTTCATAATTTTTTTTGACATATTATATACTATGACCTTTTTTTCCCATAAATTTTTTGCCATACTATACTATGACCTTTTTTCATGATTTTTTTGACATACTATACTGTGACCTTTTTTTCCCATAAATTTTTTGACATACTATACTATGACCTTTTGTCATGACTTTTTTGACATACTGTACTCTGACCTTTTTTTCATCACTTTCTTGACATACTATACTATGACCTTTTTTCATCACTTTTTAATGACATACTATATACTATGACCTTTTTTCCCCATAAATTTTTTGACATACTTTACTATGACCTTTTTTCATGATTTTTTTGACATACTATACTATGACCTTTTTTCCCATAAATTTTTTGACATACTATACTATGACCTTTTTTCATGATTTTTTTTGACATACTACTATGACCTTTGTTCCCATAATTTTTTTGACATACTATACTATGACCTTTTTTCATGATTTTTTTGACATACTGTACTATGAAATTTTTTTCCCCATACATTTTTTGACGTACTATACTATGACCTTTTTTCCCATAAATTTTTTGACATACTATACTATGACCTTTTTTCCCATAAATTTTTTGACATACTATACTATGACCTTTTGTCACGAGTTTTTGGACATACTATACTATGACCTTTTGTCATGAGTTTTTTGACATACTGTACTGTGACCTTTTTTTCCATCACTTTCTTGACATACTATACTATGACATTTTTTCATCACTTGTTTGACATACATTACTATGACCTTTTGTCATGACTTTTTTGACACACTATACTATGACCTTTTTTCATCAGTTTTTATGACATACTATACAATGACCTTTTGTCATGACTTTTTTGACATAGTATACTGTGACCTTTTTTCATCACTTTTTTGACATACATTACTATGACCTTTTGTCATGACTTTTTCGACACACTATACTATGACCTTTTTTCATCAGTTTTTATGACATACTATACTATGACCTTTTGTCATGACTTTTTTGACATAGTATACTGTGACCTTTTTTCATCACTTTTTTGACATACATTACTATGACCTTTTGTCATGACTTTTTCGACACACTATACTATGACCTTTTTTCATCAGTTTTTATGACATACTATACTATGACCTTTTGTCATGACTTTTTTGACATAGTATACTGTGACCTTTTTTCATCACTTTTTTGACATACATTACTATGACCTTTTGTCATGACTTTTTCGACACACTATACTATGACCTTTTTTCATCAGTTTTTATGACATACTATACTATGACCTTTTGTCATGACTTTTTTGACATAGTATACTGTGACCTTTTTTCATCACTTTTTTGACATACATTACTATGACCTTTTGTCATGACTTTTTCGACACACTATACTATGACCTTTTTTCATCAGTTTTTATGACATACTATACTATGACCTTTTGTCATGACTTTTTTGACATGACTTTTGACTTTGACTTTTTTTGTCATCCTATTCAATGACCTTTTTACAACTTTTTCCTGAACTAACATTTAGTGGAACATAAAATTAACATGCAGTGTGACTCCCCACTCCCAGGAAAGGCCAGCGACACAGTGGTTATCAGAAAACAGTTAGTTTATTTCAAAGGTCAGAGTTGAGCCATACCCAAAACAACAAACAGAAGTTCAGTAGTTCAAACCTAAACTTACCTAACAAAGAAACAAAGCTCAAGCAAAACAAGATTCTACCCTGCACTCCTAAAATTCAAAACAAGAGAAAACATGAAAATGCTTAATATAAAGGGCTTCTCACTGGTACTTAACTGCTTTAAACTGCTCTATATTTACAGTGACCAAAAAGAATAGCAAAATATTTACAGACTGATAGCACTACAAGATTGCAAGCCTCAGATTACATATACAAATTTGTCAAATGGCTCTCCCATAACTGACATAGTTATGAAGTCAAAGCACACTAATAACTGTCAAAATGGCTTGCCTACGGATTTATTTACACACAAATCTCATAAATTACACAATGTATATGCTGGCTTTGTAAGCAGTGGTAGAGGTAAAGGAGGGAAGAGTTTCTGTCAGCTGGAGTTCAAAAGACTGCTGTCATCTGTTGGACCAATCCAGAGGCAGCAATCCTGTCGAATCGACCAATCACCAGCCACCACCTGCCTGTTTATCACCCACTATCACTCACACACATGCACTCACTCTGAGAGGAAACGAGACAAACAGATCTGACACATCACAACACAGTCAAGGCACCTCAATAAAGAACAACCCAGGGTTATAACACTGTATTGTGACCTTTTCTTGTCACTTTTCATTACATACTATACTATGAAAAAAGTCATAGTGTAGTATGTTAAAAAAGTGATAACAAGGGTCATAGAATATTATGTGTTATTATGTGTCAAAAAAGTGATGGGAACAAAAAGTCATACTAAGGTATGTCAAAAAACGTCATATTATAGTATATCAAAATGTGATGAAAAAGGTCATAGTATACATAGTATGTGAAAAAGAAGTGATGCCAAAAGGTCGTACTAAAGTATGTCAAAAAAGTGATTTTAAAAAAAAAGGTCATAGTATAGTATGTCAATAAAAGATGAAAAATTGTCATAATATAGTATTTAATAAAACGTGATTAAAGGTATTAGGATAGTATGTCAAAAAAGTGATGAAAAAGAGTATGTCGTCCCAAATGATGAAACAATTTCACAGTATAGCATGTCGTTCCAAATGATGAAAAACAAAAGTCATAGTATAGTATGTCGTCCCAAATGATGAAAATCAAAAGTCATAGTATAGTATGTCGTCCCAAATGATGAAAAAAAGTCATAGTATGGTATGTCGTCCCAAATGATGAAAAACAAGTCATAGTATAGTATGTCGTCCCAAATGATGAAAATCAAAAGTCATAGTATAGTATGTCGTCCCAAATGATGAAAAAAAGTCATAGTATGGTATGTCGTCAAAAGGTGATAAAACAGTTCATAGCATGTCAAAAAAAAGATGAATAAAGGTCATAGTACAGTATGTCTATGAGCCTATTTAGTTGAGGCAACAGGTCTGCTCTGCAGCAGCAAACTAGGGTGCTTATTTACATGAGAATTCATGTAAAATGGAGGTTTAACTATGAACATTAATTACAGATTGCCTGACAAGCATTTTAATTAATTAATATATCATAATTAAAACAATTGGAGACTGAGAACAAAAAAAATATAATCTAATCTAAATAAGTCTGACAATATTTTGATTAATTAACATCAGAGATATTGGATGAAGCGAGATACCCCACTCAGCTCACTTCCTGATTCAGTGACGTCAGCGCCACGCCCCCGTAGGAGACTTGCGGCAGCTCTGAATGTATTGTTGTTAATGAGGAAAATGAACGTGATCACAATTTATGGTCAATTCTTTCGCCTTATAGTCACTAAAGTAAATATTGGGTTCGTTTTCCACAAGCCACACATTTTATCAACATTCTGACACTAAAGCTGCATTTTTCATCCGCACAGATCAAGAGAAAATTAACTTTGTTTGAGCCCTGTCCGTCTCAGAAAACAAGTTCTCGCGAGATCTTGTGATCTTGATAAACAGGTGGTAAAATCACAGTTAGCTTACAAACAGTTATTAACCGCTAGCAATAAATAAAAAATGCCCAAGCTTTGTGCAGCAATAGGCTGCAGTAATAGGAAGAATGTATTTTCATTCATTCATTCATTCATTCATTCATTCATTTCATTGCTTCTCGATCTGCATACACAGACATCCACAGAGCCTCTGTTCAACACGGTGGTGGGTAGTGGGGGTTGAGGGAGAACAGGCTCTGATTGGAGGGAGAGCTAACCACGCCCACTTAGGAGACAGGAAGAGTAACCGTTTTCTTAACATTGGATAAGCCTACGGTTGGGTATCTTCTTTATCCAATATCTCTGTTAACATCATAACATCATACCTGCTGCAGCCGCCTAATCATGTCTACTTTCCAGGGGCGGCGCAGTTCTTTTTTTGACACACTACACTGACCTTTTTTTTATCACTTTTTTTAACATACTATACTGTGACCTTTTTTCATCACTTTTCTTGAAATACTATACTTTGACCTTTTTTCATCAGTTTTTTTATACCATGACCCTTTTTTATCATTTTTTTTTTACATGCTATTTCATGTCCTTTTTTTAATGCTTTTTTGAAATACAATACTATGACTTTTTTCATCACTTTTCTGACATACTATACAATGACATGTTGTCATCACTTTTTTATGACATACTGTAGTTTAAGGCTTTCTTCTTGGCATACTATGCTATGGCTTTTTTTTTTTTTTTTTTTTTTACATCACATATTTTACCATGACTTTTTTAATCACTGTACTATGAGTATTTTTGCAGTTAACAGATTGTGCCGTTAAAAGATTGGTCAATGTGGAAAAAAAAACAAGTTTTTATAAACCTGGTCAGCATTGAACGGTGTAAAGGATGCACATATGATCTGTAATTATTTGTTATTTACCCGTCTGTCTCTCAGTGTCTTCCTGTTGGTCCTGTCGTCCTGCTATCTGGCCTTCAGAGTTTGTCGTCTGGAGCAGCAGCTTAGCTTCCTGAGCAGCCAACCAACACTGAGAGAGAGGTACACACATACAGTATAAACACACGCATATTTATTTCTTAGATGCTAGACCTAGAACAAGAAAAACGTCAGCAACAACTGAAAGCTGTGATAAAAATATAGCTGATGATATATAGCTGAGCTTTACTTAAATGAATGTTTTTTAGAAGAAAAAAATCTATATTATCATCTAATTAACAGCTTCTTTTCTTGCAGGTGTGGAGAGGTGCCCTGCTGGCTCGCCAATCAGAGGACAGGAACCTGACCCTGAAGTCTGCGGTGAAATACAGAAGACACCTGCACTTACATAGACTTCCCATCAGGGGGCGGCGGTGAGCAGAGACAGACGACTGTAGCAGCCGTCAGCAGCTAAACTCTGACCCTGCCATGACCTGGTTACCATAGAGACGTCACAATAGTAACAGAAACTGTAGACTGACCTTTGGCCTCTGAGGACGAGGCAATGGAGGGGACACGCAGAGGTCGCGTAGAGATCATGAGGCTGAAGGGACGACGACATGCTGTAACATAACAGACATAGATTTTAATGTGAAGCAGACTGAAAACAATGATGTGTGCGTGTGTGTGTGTGTACATAGACTGTATGGACTAACACACACTCTGACTCTGAGGTCTGTTAGTAGTTCAGGTTAAACATGTTTTCATACAGACACTGTTGGATGTGATGAAACGGTCGTTAGAGTCGGGAGAAGCTGCCGGTTCCTGAAGTGTTTCTCTTCATCCTGTTTTCACAGAACAAATATTTCCTTTAAAAGGTCCAGTGTGTAGGATTTAGGGGGATATATTGGCAGAAATATAATATAATAAATATGTTTTTCTTTGGTGTATAATCACCTGACAATAAGAATCAATGTGTTTTCATTACCTTAGCATGAGACGTTTATATCTACACAGGGAGTGGGTCCTTGTCTACGGAGATCACCATGTTACAGCTCCATGTTTCTACAGTAGCCCAGAACGGATAAATTAAACACTGGCTCTAGTTAAGGACATTCGCGTTTCTGCGTCAGCCACAGTAGTTAGACGACCCTCCACAACAAGAGGGTCAGAATAACACTGATTTTCAGACCAAAACTCAGTAAACCTTATTTAAAAAATCCAGAACACTCGTGTGGAGAAACATTTAAGTTACTGATTGAAGAAAATTTATGATGGTGAAACCTGGGGAACCTGCCGCTCAGCCCACGTCGCTGCTCTGTAGCCGTTTCTGTTTTCTGCCATTTTCATTCATATATCAACTGACTGATGTTTTTATAAACGGTTATTATTACAAGTCACAGATTTCTTTTTTTCGATCTACAAAGTGTCAGAATTCACAATGTCATCTGTAAAAACACAAACTGATCAATATCAATAAAGGTTCATTAAAGGTCCAGTGTGTAGGATTTAAGGGGGATATACTGGTAGAAATGGAATATATTATAACAAGTATGTTTTCTTAAGTGTATAATCACCTGAAAATAAGAATCATTGTGTTTTCGTTACCATAGAATGAGTGTTAATATCTACATAAGGAGCTGGTCCTTGTCTATAGAGGTCACCATGTTTTTACTGTAGCCCAGAACAGACAAACCAAACACTGCAGGGACATTCATGCTTTCACATTTTTTTTTTAGCCACTGTAGTAAGAAGGCCCTACACAATGACACGTTTCTTAATGTGAAACTGCTTTAATTTGTGTTTTTAACAGTTTAAATCACCTGGTCTTTTGTTTTGGAGAGGAAGAGACCTCTGTGGATAATTTGTCTCCCAGTAAGAACCTTGTGAACAATTGGGAAATTTTAGCTGGTTGCAATCTGCAATCCTCACTAAATCCCCCTAAATCTCACACGCTGTTCCTTTAAATGAAGTCTTGATTGCTGCCTTAAACTTACAATGTAGCCTCTGATATCGTTTTTAATATCATGTTCATGTAGAGAAGTTGCTTCCTACTTAAGACTGAATGTTACTGTAAAAGAGTAAATCTATCACTTCCCTTAAATGTGAATCTGCAACTTTCGAATGATTTTGTTAAAAAAAAAAAAAAATGCCAAATCTGTGAAATGATGTGTTTGTATGAGAAGATAAAGAGACTCACCTGAGCTGAGCAGAGACTCCTGGTTAAAAACTGCCTCCAGCTCTCCCTGTGAGCGACAAAAGACAGTAAGATGTAGGTCCAAGATGTGCACCGAATGAAGAGTTTATATTTGATGCACTTACAGGGTGATGAAAGACATGATGATGCTGTTTGGATGTTTGTGAAGAAAGTTTTAACTCATATTGTAGTTCTGACTGTAACAGAAATCACTAATAAACACATTTCCATCTCCTGACTCGTCTTTAATCACAACTTCAAAACATTGTTCTACATTTAGTCACTAAAAACAAAGCGCATTTGTTCAGGACTGTTTTCAGCGGTGGGCATTTGTTGGCAGATTTTCTTGGCCATTTTGTGTTTCTCACTCTGCATGATTCCACTGCCTTGATTTCCACCATGCCCAGTTTGGAAAAACCTTTTTTATTAAGTACACTGAGCCTTGTATGCATTGCCTTGTGCCGGTTTAAAGGGATAGTGCACTTAAAAAATGAAAATTCACCCATTATCCACTCACCCATATGCCGATGGAGGCTCTGGTGAAGTTTTAGAGTCCTCACATCACTTGCGGAGATCCAGCGTGGTGCACAGAGAGGCAGTGAGAGCTACAGGCTACAATGAGGCTAAAAACAGAGTTCAAATGACGTTTTTCCAAACAACTTTTTATGTCGGGGCTTCAGGACACTTGGATCACTACGGACGAGCAGTATGGAGATATTTTGTGGTTTCAATTATGTGTTTTTGGACGTTTGAATCTGGGGCGCCGTCAGCCTCCATTAGGTGGAGTTGTGTTGCTACCTCCTCTCCCCTTGGATCTCCAGAAGTGTGGTGAGGAGTCTAAAACTTCACCTGAGCCTCCCTCGGCATATGGGTGAGTAGATAATGGCTGAATTTTCATTTTTGGGTGCACTATCCCTTTAAACCATGCCACAAAATCTTAGTTAAATTTGAAATTGCAGTGAGTCTGGTGGCTTAGTGGGGAGAGCAGGAGCCGCATATACAAAGGCAATGTCCTTGCCAAGGTTCATGTTACGTCATACTTTCTACCCCACTACATTTATCTGAACTTTAGTTACTTTACAAATTCAGATTTTTGGTCAAAACATACAAAGATTAATTAATTAGTTTGTGGATTGACAGAAAATCAATGTGAAACTATTTTCATGGTTAAAATCATTTTTAATACTTTAACTACATTTTACTGAATATACTGAAATACTGAAGGTACATTTTCAATGCAGGACTTTTACTGTGACAGAGTATTTTTACAGTGTGGTATCAGTACCTCTACTGCAGTAAAGGATCTGAATACATCGTCCACCACTGTTTGAAAGCAACACATAAACCAGAACAGTCAAAAATTAGATAAAGTAATTGTGGCATCAAATTAATTTTAAAAAAATCTACAATAAGGTGATTTAATGATTTCATGTGTGGTGATTGTCATGAAAAAACACACTTTGCCCAAAGTGCATGTTGTAAGTTTGAAACACTCACCAACAGAAGACTTCAGAGAAAACTGGACTGAAGGCTGAAGACCGAACACAACTGAAAGATAAAAGTAAACAGTTTATAACTTAGATGTTTTTTTTTTGTTGTTGTTTTTTTAAACTGCGCTGTGTGTCTAAAGATTAAACACCTCTGAGTCTTTACCTTCTTACTGCTCGCTGGTGATCTGGAAATCAAACTGTCCTGCTGCTGTGGACCTGAAAAGTTTCAGTAAATGTCTGAGACACTTCTCTAACACACCACATGGTGGCAGTACAGCAGCTGTTTTAAATGTCTCTTACCAGCAGTCAGTATATTAAAATTAGGGCTGCGACTCTGCAACTAACAAATATAGCTATTACTGACCAACCTGTAGATTATTTTCTTACAGAATATCTTACAGCCTGAAGTGATTTCAACAAATGCTTTATTCAACCAACATTTCCAAACTCCAAATATATTAAAGTTACTGTGATGTAAGACCAAAGAAAGCAGCAGAACCTCTCATTTGAGAAGCTGCAAACATCATATTTATGCATGAAAAATGATGTAATTATTACAACAGTTGCTGATTAATTTTCTGTCAATCAATGACAGAATTATTGACTCATAGTTGCAGCTCTGATTAAAATATTTCCATATTCTAGATCAATTTAATGATGGGTAAACTGAGGTCCCACAGATCAACATTTTTCATATCATGTAGTCAATCTAATCTTGTGTACTCTGATTACTCTGAGGGTGACGTCTCTTTGGTTTGCTCTCTGACTTCAGTTGAAAACAGTTAAGATTCAGTTGAAGAGTTGATCTACTGGACAAAAAAGGAAGCAGAGGATTTGGGTGTGACCTGGATCAGAGGTCAGAGGTCAGATGTTGAGCTGTATCTGCGGTTTGGCGCGGCATCTGCAGTGATGCCGGATCTGGAGGGAGCTTGGAGTAGAGCCGCTGCTCCGTCGCGTCAAGTTGAGGTGGTTCAGGTATCTGATCAGGATCCTCCTGGGTGCTTCCCGTTAGAGGCACATCCAACTAGTGGGAGGCCCCGGGGCAGACCCAGAACACACGGGAGGGATTACATATCTTGTCGGATCTGGGAACACCTTAGGATCCACCAGGAAGAGCTGGAAAATGTTGCAGGGGAGAGGGACGTCTGGAAGACTTTGCTCGGCCTGTTCCCCCTGCGACCCAGCTTCGGATAAGTGGTTGAAAATGGATGGATGTTTGGTTTGTCCGTTCTGGGCTACTGTAGAAACAACAGGCTGTGTGGAAGAGGACCTGCTCCCTATGTAGATATGAATAACTCATTCTCAGTAACAAAAACACAGTGATTCAGGTGATTGCACACAAATAAAAACATGTAAATATAACGTTGCATTTCTGCCAATATGTCTCTCTAAATCTTTCACACTGAACCTTAAAGTAAAAGGACAGAAGTATTCTCGGCAAAATGTACTTTAAGTACCAACACTAAAATTATTCATGATGCAGAATGTTGCACGTTTGAATGATGCACGTTTTTTTAATGTTTTTTAATTTGTGTTTTTTTGTTTGTTTTTTGAATATACTCTGTTTTGTACCATAATATTTACAGGGATACTTCTGCTTAGATTTTCAACCAGCTGTGTGTCACCGCAGTGTGAGTGTGTGCATATGAATGACATTTGGCTTCCCCCATGCCATCAGTTCCAGAAACTCCCTGCCCGTGCCATGAGAGACAAAAATATTGCATTATCAATGATGCAAAAATACTGTCTTGTTTTTTGTGTTTGGTGTCACTGGGTGAATGTTGGCGGGCAGACAGGCTGGGAGCTCCGGGAGCTGGCAGCACAAACGCATTACCCACAAGACAATGTCACAGACCTCACTGAAAATCTGCAAAATATCATTTAATTAAATAAAATAAACATTTTTAAAAAGTTGTACTTTGTTAATGTGGAGCCACTTTTGGACACTTTGTATAATACTCACTATATTTGTAGTATAACACTGTGTTATATAATTATATTATTTTCATGTAAAAAGTAAGCACTGCAGTGTTAAATCAAAACCACACAGTCACATCTCTGCTGTCCACATGACTGAAGAACCATTTCAAGGTCATTTAGGAATTGAATTAAACTTTATTAATCATTAAAAATCCTAAACCAAACATATTTATGAGACCTGAAGTGAAGCTGCAGTCTACGTCTGTCCATAAACCTGAAGACACAGAGGCTGATCCTGGATCAGCTGGTTCAAACACTCCTCCCAGTTC